ATCTCTACCCTCCAGTAAGGAGGTCAGAATGATCTGCTCCTTTCCTCAATGCCACTTAGACACAGAGGGTTAGTTCTATGTCTGGTATAATTAGATATGGCTCCAGTATCTTGGCTCATGTAAATCAACACAGCTGAGTTAAAGGTCTGGTCCCAAGAGGAAAGGTCAGGTCAGGAGATAGCAAGCATCTACTCACATTCAGGGTTTCCTGATTTGTCACCTTGCTACTGCCAAATCACTATGCATGTTGAAGCATTTAAAAGTAAGTTCTTACAACAAAAACTTCCTTCCAGATATGACTCTATTTACTTTTTGGTAATCAACTCCCAAAATATTTCACTTGATGTGTACAGCAATGCAGACTGTAAGCAATCCTTACCTGGCAAAACGCTACAGTTCTTCATGGAGCACTGATCGTTTTTTAACTCATGCCGTTTGGGTGTCATCTCAGATCTGTAGAATATTAAAACGTGATAATATTGTCTCAGATCTTTAGGATATAAAAACACATGATAATGGCACCAAAATCATAGAAATATAGTGCAAAGAGCTCATGTGACAATTCAGGACTGTACCCTACAATACAATGGTATTTTCTAGCATTTAAATTAGTTTATAACCTTATTATAGCATATTTCCTAGCAGGGTTTTTACTAAGCATCCAGATATCTCCATTTTAACTATCTCCATGTATAGACTAATCAATAAAACCATCAACTAAACCTACATTTCAGAATCCCTTTTCAAGATTTTGAAAAAAATATGCTTATTAAAAGGATGCAATAAACCTAGATTTAACAAATGAGTTTTAAAGTAAGCCATATATACTCTACTGGGCTTGAGTAGGGTACTGGCTAGAGAAAATCTGAAGTAAAGATGTGCTTTAAACTAAGCTCCAATCCTACACACCTATGTGCTTATAGGTATGGTGGTATCCAGAATGCTTTTATCACTCTACAGTTACCTGATAGCAAAACTCATCCCTCATATAAACTGTAGGGCTTAAATGTTGATAAACTGAGTTTTACTTTGTTCACTTTTCAAGGCTGGATTTAAAACTAAGTAATGATTCCAGTATTGTATTATCCAAAGAAATAAACTCCACAGTGAAGTCAAACAACTAGGAGAGCACCAATGAAGATCTTTTCGGCTGATGCCAATGGCCAATTATTAACCAGCCATATCGGCCGATACCGGTCTGATTGCCGATATGCAGTCCAGCAGCTTGGAGAGCAGTGCCCAGCTAGTAAGTGTGAGGGGAAGCAGCACTGGGGAGGGAAGGGGCATTGGGGGGACAGATTGAGCCCGCCATGGTGAGGAAGGGGTTAAGGCAGGCTGCCTGCTGTGGGCTCAGGGCCAGGGGCTGCACCAGCCTCTTCCCAGTGGGGGCTGGGCCAGGTCTGTGCATGGGGCATGCAAGGGCAGTGCTGGGAGGAAGGGCTATGGGATAGGCTACAGCCACCCCAGAATTCTCCGTAGCCCCCCAGTAATCCCTCTCTCAGTGCTGCCGTTGCCCAACCCACCCCCACCCGCCCTGAGCGCAGCCCTGGCCCACCCCCCATCCCCACTGGGAAGAGGCCAGCTCAGCCCTCGGCCGCAAGCCCACAGCAGGCAGCCTGTCCTTGCCCCACGCACAAATCCGGGGTAGCATGTGCCCCCTGTGCCTCCCCTGGGGGGTGAATGCAGTGCCCCCCTCCCTGCTCCCCTATGCCTCCCAGATAACCCTCCCATGGCTCTGTCCTGTGCCTCGCCCTGACATGCTAGGCAGCACCTGCCCCTGCCCCTGCTCCTGCCCTTACTTCAGCCTCACTCCCTCCTTCACCTTGGGGACCTCAAACTGGCCCCTCCATGCTCTTTTCCTCCCCCACACCCCTTCCCCCGACAGACTTACCATTTTGACACTGCTCTCCAAGCTGACAGGTTGCATTCCTGGCCACAAGCATGCTGTGGCTGTGCGCATGCACGTAGCATGTATTTGTGACATTATCGGCCACACTGGCCAAAAAAAGGTGATTGCCGATGTCAATTTTCCTTTTATCAGTATTGATATGATATGGACCAATATATCGGTGCACCTCTACAAAGAACCTATGCCTGATTACTACTCTTTATTACAATCACTTACATCCATTCAAAGTGGGTGTATGATTGTAACAGGGAGTCAGAGGGCTCCTGTTACTTGAAGGCAGAAGTAGCAGCAGGAAGGCCCCCAGGTGGGGGGAAGACTGCTCATCATGGGCTGGCTGCAGGGAAAAAGAGAGCCAGGAACTCATTTTCTGTGAGTACCTACTGCTAGCTACCCAGCAACAGGACAACAGACAACCAGACCAAATGGATGAGGTGAAAGAAGCTTTCTTCAAACAGCTAGCAGAAGTTTTCCAATCACAGGCCCTGACTCTCTTGGGGGACTTAAATCACCTGGATATCTGTTGGGAGGAAAGTACAACAGTGCACAGGCAATCCAGGAAGTTTTTGGAGTGTGTTGGGAACAACTTCCTGGTACAAGTGTTGAACAGGCCAACTAGGGACTGTGCTCTTCTTGACCTGATGCTCACAAATAGGGAAGAATTGGTGGGGAATGTAGAAGTGGATGACAATTTGGGAAGCAGTGACCTCAGGATGACTGAGTTCAGCATCTCGAAGAAAGGCAGGAAGGAGAGCAGCAGAGTAAGGACCCTGGACTTCAGAAAAGCAGACTTTGACTAACTCAGGGAACTGATGGGCAAGATCCTCTAGGAAGCTAGTCTGAGGGAGGAAGGAGTCCAGGAGAGCTGGCTGTATTTTAAAGAAGCCTTACTAAGGGCGCAGGAATAAATCATCCTGATATGCAGGAAGTGTAGCAAGTATGGCAGAAGACCAGCTTGGCTTAGCAGGAAACACTTCAGTGAGCTAAAACACAAAAAAGAAGCTTACAAGAAGTGGAAACTTTGAAAAACAACTAGGAAGGAGTATGAAAGCATTGCTCAAGCATGCACGGATGAAATCAGGAAGGCCAAAGTGCAACTGGAGTTACAGCTAGCAAGGGACATGAAGGGTAATAAGAAGCATTTCTACAAGCATGTCAGCAACAAGAGGAAGATCAGGGAAAGTATGGGTCCCTTACTGAACAGGGGAAGGAAACCTTGTGACAGATGATATGCAAAAGGCTAAAGTATTCAATGCCTTTATTATCTCAGTCTTCACAGGCAAGGTTAGCTCCCAGACTACTGCACTAGGCAGCAGAGCTTGGGGAGGAGGTGAGCAGCCAACAGTGGAAAAGAACAGGTTAGGGACTATTTAGAAAATCTGGATGCATAACATCACAGTTGCTGCCCCATGACACTACTGCACAGTAATCTTGGGCTACTGCGCAGTCAGCATCTTGTGAAGACATGGCCAAAGGGTAGTAATCAATGGTTCTATGTCTAGCTAGGACACAGTATCACGTGGACTGCCCCAGGGGTCGATCCTGGGGCCGGATTTGTTCAATATTTTCATCAATGACCAGGAAAATGGGATGGAGTACAGCCTCAGCAAATTTGCAGATAACACCAAGCTGTAGGGAGTAGTAGATATGTTGGAGGGTATGGCTAGAATTCAGAAAGACTTCAACAAATTGGAGGATTGGACCAAAAGAAATCTCATGAGGTTCAATAACAACAACTGCAAAGTCCTGCACTTAGTACAGAAAAATCCCATGCACTAATATAGGCTGGGAACTGACTGGGAAAGGACCTTGAGATTACTGTGGACAATAAAATGAATATAAGCCAACAGTATGCCCTTGTTGCCAAGAAGGCTAATAGCATACTGGGTTGCATTCGTAGGAGTGCTGCCAGCAGATCAAGGGAAGTGATTATTCCCCTCTATTTGGCACTGGTGAGGCCACATCTGGAGTACTGTGTCCAGTTTTGGACCCTCCACTACAGAAAGGATGTGGTAAAATTGGAAAGAGTCCAGCGGACAGCAAAAAGTGGTTAAGAGGACTAGGGACTAATGACTTCTGAAAAGAGGCAAAGGGGACTGACCTTATTTAGTCTAGAAAAGAGAAGCCTGAAGGAAGATTAAATAGCAGCCTTCAACTACCTGAAGAGTATTCCAAAGAGGTTGGAGCTAGGCTGTTCTCAGAGGTAGCAGATGACAGAATAAGGAGCAATGGCCTCAAGTTGCAGCAAGGGAAATTTAGGTGAGATATTAGGGAAATCTTTCTCATGAAGAGGGTAGTAGAACACTGGAACAGATTGCCCAGTTGTGTTGTTGAATCTCTATCCTTAGAGATTTTTAAGATCAGTGGCAATGCATAGGGGGTGCATGTGAACCCCCTGACTGGCCTCGCTCACTGCTTAGGTGATGGGCGGGGGGGTAGGCGGGAGCGCCGGTGTCCCCCCTGTAAGCACCAGTGGATTGCTGCAACCGCTCCCAGAAGCAGCCGCAGCCACTCGTGGAAGTGGCTGGGGCAA